AAGGAAGTATTGTAATATATCCATGTTGTTCTATTGGAGGTGGGCTTCTAATAGAGGGAATATGGTAATCTATTCATGTTGTTCTATTGGAAGTGTGCTTCTAATAGAGGAAATATGGTAATCTATCCATGTGCTTCTATTGGAGGTGTGCTTCTAATAGAGGAAATATGGTATTGTGGTTCTATTAAGGTAACAGCGTTTTTTCATCAAGATAAAAAAAATAGGTTTCATTCAAAAACATCATTCAAAGAAAACAACATGATACTATATATAGCTTTAACCATTGCTGATGTCAGAAAGTTTGTTAGTTGTCATGGTTACCATGCATTGACTTGCACCAAATAAGGCAGCAGGTACTATAATAGAATCAGGTAGTCAACGTCAGAGGAGATTTTGAAGGGGTCTTTCTTTCACGACATAACAATTATCGCTTGGAGGCAAATGTGTTCAAGATGTTCCTCGGGGAATCCAGATAATTTTTAAAACTATTAATGGAAAAGATTGATCCAGATATTCTCTTTTGAAAGTTTGAAAATGTTATCAAGATGGTCTGCCAATGCCAATTCCTATTATTTTGATGGGAGTACAACCAAAATCAAAAAAATAATATTTCAATGTATTGGAAAATATGCAAATTTTAATATTTCTGAATAACATCTATGTTTTAATCTTTGATCAATACCCATAATTCTTCTTGTGGTCATTTTTACGGTGATGAATTATGTTGCTTATCATTAAAGTTATCAACTGTTCGGTTGTCGGTAACCCATAAAATGACCGTTCCGGTAATTTACACCAGTCAGATTATGACGCGGAAACCATATTACAATTTGTATTTGCCGTAGTAACATCTCACAATCCTTCACTGGGCATAGTATATTACGATAACATCGCATGGCGGTGACCGATATTGAGTAAGCGTTATGGACGTGAACCCTTCGATAATGAGCTAGGTGAATATACAATGCATGGAATATTAATTTGAATATTATGTGAAAACTGTAGTGCTTTATAATTTGCCTATTTATCACAAGTTACCATCATTTTGCTAATTTCCATAACCAATACTTATCAAATTAATGTAGTGAAAATTTCTTTTTTTTTTCTATATGTAAAAAAAATCTCTGAGGATAAATAAATATTCATAATGGATATTTTTATATATCACCTGTAGATTATGTTCATTAACCTTTGAACTCTAAATTGCTTTTTTCACACTCAAAAAATGCGTAATTTTCTTTCATTTGTTTAAACATTGTAATTCAAACCTGTAGCCATTGGGAAATTCGATCCATGTGGCTCAAAATTAAAGAAGGATTATTAATACTTATAAAGGTGCACAATTTTGGTCAAAAAGGGATACATGTGTATAAACTAATAGAAAATTGTAATAGACATGACTCTACATGGAATCCTTAATAAAGTGTACACTATGGTTGCATGCTTCAACAGGATATTGCAATTGGCTATTTTGAAAAAAAAATAAACGTTGTATGAAGTAATATTAAGTTCGTAGCTCCATGAACTCAGCCTACATAGACCTTTAATGTATGTAAACACATAGCCAATTGTGGGAGAACTGTGGAATTTAATTTCAAACAGTTGCCATGACAACTGCACTGAGTTGGCAGATGAGGTCATTCATTGCTTCTCCGAGCATATTACATATGCATCTCAGCCCACTGTGTCATGAGTATTCGCCAGCTGGGCAAAGGTCTTTGCTGTACGTACACATGATGGCTTTTTAATCAAGCTCTCTTGAGGTTAATTCACAACACTGACTGAAATATATTGTATTTATGAACTCATGGATTTGGCTCGTCCAGTCGTGATGTCATCGTCGCCGAGAAGGGGAGCAAGCATTCCCATTCCTGAAGTTCGGAAGCCAACGTTTCGGTCAGTTGTTGTTTTATTTTTGTCTGGCTGTGTGTGTTATGTATATACATATGTACATAGCTTCTGAAGGGACCTGCTTTTATTCTCAAATCCAATTGTATGCATGTAAAACACCAGCGGTGCGTCAACACAGTCAGCTTTGCTGCGTTCATGCTTCATTGCAGATCACATACCGCTGAACATAATTGCAGCATTATTCTCTGAAAAAAAACTACCTTTCAGTGGACTGACATGCAACACTGACATTTATATCTTGTGTTTTCTTGTGTCCCCTGTTTAAATGTGGGTCAGACGCTGCGCCTCTTTTAATAGGTGGTTACAAAATGTCAATTCCAGGACAGGAAACGTGTTGATATAATGTGTGTACAGGAAATCATAAATCTCCATATTTTTCCAGTCGAAATCAAGATAATAGGTTGTTTAAGAATCACATATATCTGTGGATAAATGTATGAAATTTGATGAAAAAATTTGCTCATTTAATTTACTCAAAACAAAATTTAATAATATTTTTTAAACATAACTAATATGAGAAATTTCACTCTTATAAGACACTTCTAATTGTACAGACTGGAATAGGGTAGCACTTTAATTACTGTAAAATACTTTATTTTCACTTGGAATTAATCTTCGCTATTTTCGCTGAAGTAATGATTCAGTGAAAATAAAATCCAGCAAATATACTATTTTTCCTATATTTTACATTCAACTCGCCAAAAATCAGTGAAAATAAATTCCATACAAAACACCTAAAAATATCAGTGAAAATTGATTCTAGCTAAAATTAAGTATTTCACAGTCGTCAGATTAAGGTTGTTATTACTATGAATCGATGCTAGGAGTGGTTATGTAGATGGTGAATACTCGACACAATCACATCATCATAGATGTTTAACTTCAATTTTATTATAAATCCAATATTACTATTTTATGTGCATACTTTAACATTTAAAAAATGAAATTTCCTGATATTAGAGTACCGTATGCAGTAATCACAGTTGAGTAATTTCTGTTTGTTAACAGTGCTTAAAAAAAAATGTGATTTGTGATTTTGTCTGGAGAATTATGTGCAACTGTACATACCCATTGTGTATCTATAGAATTCACAGATATATACAAGTTTATTACTCTATGGGAAATGTATATGATAGGTAATCTTGGCAGTGTCTTGACCATTTTATGTGACCATGTGTGACCTTGAGGTTTTAATCAGTGACTTGATATCTAACAAGTTCATGTCCACAGATAGATTACAGAATATTTTGAATCACTGCCTTGATGACCAGGTTTTGAACTTGACGAGTTTAATTTGTATATAAAGGATATATACCAGGGATTAAGCTGTGTTAAAAAAAACATCTTAATATTTGAAAGTGTCTTAGTTCCAGGATGGGGAATGTGATTGTTGCTTAATAATTTTTTTTTTATTCATATTTTGTCTAATCATTGCCATGTCAGCAATGTTAATTAAGTGAGAGTGGTGTATTGGTTGCTATGGTTATTGTTATTGCCATTGTTTTTCTCTTATATAGGTCTATTATTTGATAATTACCCATACCAGTATATTTAAGTTGAAATTAAAAAAATATAACTGCAAACAAGTACCGTACAATGTCATGAAAAAAAAATCTCTTCATCAGCGGGAAAGTCGTACATATGTATGTCTTCTAAGAGAAAAACTATCAAAGATGGAAGGGCAAGGTATATAAAGGGAAAAATTTCTGTCTGGCGTTGTCGTTGTCATCGTCGTTAATAATTGTTATTGTGTGCACAATAACTTTACTAATTCTATTCCAACCTTCATCAAACTTGGTCACCTATTTCATCAGTATAAAGTCTTCCCTGAGTTTAAACAACAGATGTCCTGTATGAAAATATCATGCAAAAATTGAGAAAATCTGATAAAATATTTTGACTGTTTCTACTTGACTGATCACTGGTGATACACATTCAAAGGTCACTGATCTCAGTGGAAATATCAAAGTTATCAAATCAAAAACAATACATAAAAATACAAACGTTGCATCCACATTTTGAAAAGAAAATTGTACTAAAAAATATGTATTCTGTAATTTGACAAACAGTTCATTTGCCAAATGAAAATTCACAGGAATTTGTTTCAGCTATTAGAACAGAATGATAGAGCTTTTATAATACTATTATTTTTGACAGACACCTGTACAAAATAAGATTTTCTGTTTTCTTGCATGTTTTATGAATCTATTCGCGTCTAAATGCAGCACTTTTTTTTCTGAGATGAGGCATTTGTTTTTTATACTAAAATATCTGAATTACTTTGAATAAAGCTGGAAATTATGTCCCTTAAAATAATTAAACAAATTAGGCACCAATGTTTTTGTGAGATATTTATATCCATCAAGGACATTCAGTAGACTGATTCCCCACTGTTGTTTCAACCCCAAAACTTGTTTGTATTCAAAATTAATTATGACCATGCATATTCATATTGAATCAAACTATGATAAAGGGAATAATATTATATAACAAAGGGCAAGGTCACTAGAGTTCAACTATGTTTAATATGGAGAAAATAGGATTTCAAATATACAGATGAATTAGGAATGCTTCCTATGCACTGTATCTCACATAGAGTTACCCTCCCCCACCCTCAATATTTGGCCCTTCCCTTAATACATATTTTTAGCTTAATAATCCAATCATTGTACATGTAAAATACTTTTTTTGCTCCAAAATCTGATCGAATAAAATCCAAACAAAATCCAGTAAAAATGTGTTTTGTTTTTTTTTTCTTCTAAAATTTTTACCACCTCTTACTGAAAATGACATTATCATGGAAAATTTAGTAAAACTGCATTTTATTTTTAACAGCTCAATTAATACTAAGATGCTAATCGTAATGAACAGTTGTATAATTGGAGCGAGGTAGGAAGAATGCCAGCAATTCTCAAGTTGCACATCAACCATTTAAATTTAATGACCTGTGTTGGAACGTGTGAACTGTCTATAACGTGATCACGCTAGTGTGTTACTATAACTAACGATTCCTTGTACGCTCATCGTTTTATACAACGTAATCCAGACAGAGACGTTCGGATTTATTCGACAAGTTGTCTCCAATACCCAACAGAATATAAAAATGTCTTAAAATTATGTATAAACAAAAACAAATTTTATTTTATTTTATTTTATTTTATTTTATTTTTCAAACTGCCAAGTTTTAATGAGTCTCACACAGTACTATTTGAGAGGATTTGTTTAAAAATTGTTAGATATCTGATTTATCAGTGGGAGGATACTCGATTTAAGTGTGTGCGTTGTATGTAATAAATTATTCATGGTAGGCATTTTTACCTGCACACATTAATTTCCATTTAATTCAATCCTGGCTATGTAGTTATTTATTTCTCTCTACCAAGCCAAATATAATAACACATCGTCTGTTATCTGTATATATATATGAGTAAAAAAATATGCTAAAATTTATTCTGTGATTACAGGTTATTAATAATTATATCTCTGCATAAATAAAGAGCGAAGAATTTATTTATATTGCTTCAAATATTAAATTTTTTTTTTAAATGCAAATTTACTACAAAAAGGAGATACAATGAAATTTTATTTATTTTTTCTCTCCATTGCAAACAAATTGTCTGGTAGTGATGAAAATAGTCAGAGTCTGGCAAAGTTGAGCTGCCTGAGTTGCCGTCGGTTACCAGGGAGCGCAGGAGTGTTCTTCACAGGGCTTGTACATCTTATCTTATGCAGTAATAGTTCAACAAAGATGTAGATGTTCAGTGTTCATTTGTTGCTTCATTGTGCAGTTTACAGATGCAGCGTTTGCACACTTGCATGTTATAAGGCTTAGTTGAATCGATGAGCGAAGAAGACACCCAATGATTAAATGTTACATACAAGTAGCTTATCATGCACCGTAAATTAGTTTTTAGATTTCTCATTAAAATTAAAGTGAGATGCTGAAGTTGTACACACATTGTATATGTATGTACGTCACATGAGACCTATTTCTAACATTATGTTATATAATGACTGGATTTACAAGATTCATATGTTTTTTGTTAGTCAGGTATTGCTAATGCCATATGTGTTAAAATGATTTGTTTCCCCATACAGCTTTAAAAATAGTAAATATATTTGGTTCTTATCATTTTAAAATTTCTGTGTACCATATCAGTTTAATTACCTAATACAATCTTTGAGTGAGCCCAAAATAAATTTCCTAGAAAAAAAAATCATGTGCAGTAATCCACAGGCCAAAATTGAATCTCTGACCCTTGACCTGTTTTTTTTTTTTTTTTCTTCAAGTAATACAGTCTGCTAAACTTTGTTAACAATTATCTAATAATTGTAATTTTTTTTTATTTCTATTTTAGTTTTGATGTTGAAAATGGAGGTGCACCATGTCGAAGTCCACTGGATGCTGCAAGTCCTTCATCCGGGTTGGTGCTTTCAGCAAACTTCAGCCAAAGAAGAGAATCTTTTCTGTATCGGTCGGACAGCGATTTTGATTTGTCACCAAAGTCTATGTCCAGAAATTCATCTATCGCTAGCGACTCGTAAGTGTTCATTCATTATCTGAAATGAAAGTAGTACACCTACCCGGTAATAATTCAAATTAATGGTTCAAATGGTTCTACTGATTCATGTATTTGACTCTTGAGTGTAATACTAGTTTGGTTGAGCTTTTTTACTTCCATTGCTTGATTATGCTGCCTTCCTCAAAATAGTCCGGTATACACTTTGTTTGTCCAATATTTTTGTGAAAAGCTTGTAAACATTTGATCAACATGTCATCGCACTTTACAAAAGTTATGAAGTTTCATCTAAATTAAAGGGCGGTAGTCGCGCATTGCATGCATGAAATATATGGGTCTCATATAAACTGAATCAAACCCAGTGGGTTTATTTATTAATTTTTCCTTTAATTATAAAACTCATAATTATAAGTTAGATAATTTACATTATAATTTTTTGCTGATTTTTTTCATTTTGTTGCAGACATGGAGAAGACATAATTGTAACACCCTTTGCACAAATTTTAGCAAGTTTACGAAGTGTTCGCAATAACTATGTATCCATAACAGGGATCAATTCCACAAAGTAAGTACACCAATAACATCATAGTTTGGTTTTATCAGTTTTTTTTAGCTCAGCTTTTAACTTTGTTGAGCGGAGCTTATCATATGAGTGATTGTCCATCATCGTCCACATCAACATTTTACTTGTTCTGATTGCTTTGATACTTGGTGTATATGTACCTTGGGTAGACCCCAGTTATCTTTAATTTTTATGAATATTTTTGTCATTTTTAGTAAAAGTGATATTTTTGACTTCTTGTTGAAAATCTCTAATAATAAGTCTAATTCCTTTGATATTATACATGTAGGTACCTCTGGTTGACCTCTTTCAGAATTGTTTATTTTATGATATTTTCAATTCTCTAATCAATGAATATTTTTGGTAAAAAGTTATGTTTTCGAAAACAGTATGATTGCTTTGATATTGTACATATATATACTACAGGTAGACCTCTCCCAGATTTGTTTAATGTGTGTTTATTTTGTGTTTATTTTGTTTATCTTCAATTCTTTAATTGAAAAATATATTGTTAACAAAATAGCTGTCTCAGTCAAGAAGCTGCTTGTTTATATTATAAACTTGTCTGTGATCACATACAGGGATTTCTAAGTACTATCACTGTGTACACATTTATGTTTTTGTGAGCCTCTACGCAAATTATGATGACCGTGAGTGTTGGTTTGACAGTGTGCATGCCTCAAGTCGGTATTTTTGCCACACTAAATAAATATTCAGAATGTCACCCACGTGCATATGGCATTTACATACGACTAATATCGAACAGGCATACACGATGTGACGGCCACACCTGCTAAAGACAATCTACATTGTGTCTGTGTATGTCATCAAGAATCGTTACTGATTCCAACAGTAAAACCTACTCGACAAAAACAGACAAGTTGATTGAAATCACTGATTAACTGCTAGATATGTGGAGATTCGAATTGATTTCAAGCACACACAGATGACAGTGTGACTCTTGAAAACGGAGAATTACAATATTGTCTGTTCACTGGCCACTTTGGTTGTAGACAACTTCCTTCATTAGTATATGTTCTTGACATGTTTGTCACTTTGTTATTTCTTATCAACTAAGTCATGGCCAGATTGTAGGGCTTGACCATATCAACCACTGTGCTTGAAACTTGACATGATCTGAATGCTATATCTCCCTAATGGCAATTGACAGATACAACTAATTCACTAATGATGCGACTTTAACGACCTCACACTGGATAGCAATTTTCATCACAAATGGGATGCATTTTGTCTTGGTGACGACATAAAGCCTTGAGAAACGCTGCTATAATGTGTACTTATAGCTGTCTAGGTTGGGTTCAAGCAGTGTTACAGTGTCACTCGGTTCCATTAAATACTGACTGATGTAAATGTCATTGTCTAAATCACCATATATAAATTGTTTACGTACCTGTGTTCTGTAGACGAGTGTCAGTTGTCAGTTATTCTGTGCTGAGGTAATGGTTTCATAAACTTGAGAGTAAAACTATCAGTGAAACTATTTATTTTTAAAAGCATTGAATTTGATGATTTGTACAATTGTTACTGGATTTTAAGTTCACAAATTTGCCAGGTAGACAATGAGTTATATTGTTATTTTTCATGTTAACTTCCAAATTTAAAAACAATGTGAATGATAAATGCATTCACCTGAACATCAATAGGTAAATTGTGTTGAATCTGTTTACTTTATATGAAACATGAAGGTTATGGCGATAAGAAAAATTGAATTTAGTCATTTGTCATCAAAGTTGTGAATATGTGATTTCTAATGATTATGGTGTTCCTACGTCACTATGGTTACAGTATGTTGTGAATTTTCATTGTAGTAGGTAGGATAATGCAAATATCAAATTAAGAATAATTTTTACCTGGTGGTCAAATAACAGAATACGAATAATGAAGATGGTAAAATGTTGATTGGTCAATTCTCTCGCTGTACTGACTTCTTGTATTTTTTGTAGTGTTTATTAAGACTCATTTATAAATCAAATCATAAATATTTATAGTGATTTTTTTTTTCATTTTTCCCATGTAACAAAATTTGGACATTAAATTTAACTTTTTGTTGACTTTTACAAAATAAACCAACATATTATATTTTTCTTTTTTTTTTTACGATATTTTGCTCAAAAAATGAAACCAATACCTTGACGACCAAAATTAACAAAGAAATTGCAGAAGAGTATACACAATGTTGTATCAACATTTTGGCGGGAACATTTTTAAAGATGCTAAATATTCTACAATTTTATAAACAAAATGGCACACATGACTGACTTGAATTATCAGAAAATACAAAGAACAATTAATATCTTCAGAAGTATCTCATCATTAATCACAAAATCTGTTTTTTTAACAGAAAATCCACAGGTGAAAAGCAGTACACTAGGAGCGCATCTATCACATTAACTGAAGAGAATTATTCAAAAGCATTAGAAACGTTAGAAGAACTTGATTGGTGCTTAGATCAACTAGAAAACATGCAAACACACCGATCAGTTAGTGATCTAGCGTCCAGTAAAGTAAGTTTTGTAATCATTTTTTGAAAAATTATTATCGCAAAGACAACTTTAAACTTTTCACCACCAGACTTTCTTCCAAATGTTTCTGGACCTTTTTCTTATATTTCTTAATATTTCTGGAAATGAGTCCTAATTTTGGAGTCAACAGACAAAATTTGAGTCAATTTTTAGTTTTTACTCAAACAATTTTGATATTTTTGTCTCAATGTTCTGAAGGAAAGTGCAGACTATAAACTATTTGTGATGAAAAGAAAAAACTGGCGGTGAAATAGTTTAGAATGTTTAAATGCATCTGAAGGAAAAAAATAGAGAACATTGTTCAGTCAAAGTCAATTTCTTGTTTTCTTGATATTTCCTCCCAAACCACTACGTTAAATATTAATTGTGTAAGCGACACTGTCGTCACAGGATGATATGTGACTTATAAAAAGTGTATAAATGTTTATTTATTTATTTGGGACAAATCAAAATTATTTTAATTTGATATAAAAAACATGCATCAAATAAATTGGTATCAACTTGTCGAGCAGTTTCAAAATTAATGATTTGTTTTGTAAAATAATTTTGATGAAATTTTTTCTTTTGTTTCACAGTTTAAACGTATGCTGAATCGTGAACTCAGTCACTTTTCAGAAACAAGCAGATCGGGTAACCAAGTATCCGATTTCATATGCAATACTTTCTTAGGTAAGTTGTGGAGTCTGATTAACATTATATTGCTATAAGAATTAGCCTCCCTAACTATGTGAATAGTATCAACTTTCAGACAAACTTGTACCAATTCAACTTTGAATTTGATATAAAATTATTGGGAAACACAAGTTGCTTATAAATAAGCTTGTATAAATTTGTGGCTGTAAACCATGCACTAAAGATTAACATTTAACGTTTCATGCAAGCTGCTACTGTAAAAATGTAACAATTTGTCTTTTTCTCTCAGATAAGCAGCAGGAAATGGATTTTCCAACAACGAAAGATATAAAGGAAGTTGCACAACCACCGCGGTTACGACCAATGCCCGCAAAACCCGGTGAGATGAACCGGATTGGTGGAATTCAGAAGCTGCGACATCACAATAGTTTTACAGGGTTAGTTCCCAGGTTCGGTGTAGAAGTCAGAAATGAAGCAGAAACGGACAAGGTAAATGAAAAATGTTATACTTGTTTCACATTCATTTAGCGAATGAAGTTGATTCTCACACTTCTCAACATATTTCGCTTGACCTGCCTTACCACTAATGTGAAAGTTTTAAATGCATGTTTTTATTTGTTTTGTAACCATGTGAGTTTATATTTAAAAAGACACCATTTGAGCTTTTACAGTACAGTATGAAGATTGCCCCATCACTATGTTTGTTTGTTTGTTGTTACTTTGTTGAACTGCCCTTGATATATCATTTTCGTATCTGTTTTCAGGAAATGGGCAATATTGACAAATGGGGCCTAGAAGTATTCAAATTGGATGAATTGACGAATCACAGACCGTTGACTGCAGTCGTATATACAATATTTAAAGTAAGTGTATTTGTTACAATGAAGTTGATAGGCATCCGCTGGGCAATTTTTGATGTCGTTAAAAAAAAAGCTCACAGGAAAAAATGTGATCACATTGGTCATTGTCTCAAACTTGTTAAAGCAACGTTTTTAGCTCCACTGTTGACTTTGTCGAGTGAAGCTTATCATATGAGTGATTGTCCGTCTTCATCGTTTGTGTCAATGTTTTACTCTTTCGACTTCTTCTTGAAAACTACAAGCCTGAATACTTTGATACTTGGTGTATATGTACCTTGGGTAGACCTATCTTGGATTTGTTCATTTCATGATGATATCTTCAATTCAATATTTTTGTCATATTTGGTAAAAAGTGACTTCGAGTTAAAAACCACAAGTCCAATTGCTTTGATACTATACATATTGTCCATTTTCTAATGATATCTTCATTCTTTAATTGCAATGTGCATTGCTAACAGATGGGTCAATGTGATTTTTGTATAAATAAATCAATCTGAAACAAGATTTTTAGCTCACATTAACCTATCGGGAATGAGCTCTTAATAGAGTAAATATGACAAATTATATTTAATCTCCACACAGGAAAGGGACTTACTAAAGACGTTTAAAATTCCAGCCAATACATTGGTTACGTATATGTTGACACTGGAAGACCATTACGTGAAAGATGTCCC